GGGTATCGGACGTGAGGGAGGGCCCCACGCCCTCGCCGAATTCATGGATGTCAAGTATACCTGCTGGGGCGACATCAACTGACACTTCACTGAACCCTCATGTCATTTATGCCTTTGCACCCCTTTTAGTATTGAACAGATTGACGGAAATTCCACTGTTACAAATCCTTCCCAGTGATTCAACTTTTAGCCTGGCTTCTGTTGTTTTACTTGCCAGGTCTCTGCTATGTGACCGTAATGCGCTTTCTTTGACTACTACCCAATAGAATGGAAAGGGCAAACTACTCTTGCTGTCTTTGCATGTGGTGAAGGTGGGATCTATGATCTTGTCTCCGCCGTTTCTGTCACGCCGGCCCTCAATAGTAGCAAGTAATCTGCGGTGAGGAATTCCTCGATGTCTTGTTACAAGCTTTCTTGGGGCAGTTGGATTTTGCCGCCGAAAAATGCGTTCTGTGTTGTGTGCAATAAAGTTCGAAAAAAGCATGACTTCATTAATCCTTTCTTTCAGTGTAAACTCGTACGTAAAGCCTACAATTGGGTTACTAAGGGACATATCCTATGCTTCAGATGAATGGCGATCGGTGCGTACGAAGTTGGTTTTGCTATCTTTCGGCTGAGTAGGAAGTTATGGGTACTCGTCCCCATGGTGCCGAAACTCGATTGCATTTCGGACATCTAGGGTACTCTGGCATGCCAAGTTTGTTGGTTCTCGTTCATACTCTCCCAATCGAGTGATGGCAGTTTGGCCAGCAAAGTTATTGACAAGCTCATCAAGAGTGCCTCAAAGAAGTTTCCTATGGTGATCCTAATGTATATAAAGCTAAACATTTTCGCCCTAGTCACGATCGCGCTGTAACGGTCTGTTCGGTGGAGAGAGTGGCATCATTTAGCGGAACAAAATTAAGCGTCAAGCCGCACAGTAAATTCGACTTTTAATGTCCGAGGGCAGATGATAACCAATGAGCGCTAACAAGAAAGGCGGTGAAGACTGAAATAGCTGTACTTCATTTGCCGTTGTGAGTCACCGATATCCAGCTCCCAGGTCCGATGGACCTGACGTTTGGATTCGCGGACCCGGTCTGAAGTTTGCGTGGCCTTGAGCTACGGCTTAACATCCGGGTGGCTAAAGTCACCACTTTCCAAGGTCATATGGACGCGGCGGTCACCAATTTATTCTGGATAAAGGAGGGAATACGAATATCCTATCTTGCCTTGGATCACCGGTTTAGGATCCTCGAAGGCAGTCACATAGTAACCAGTACTTGTAAATAGGGAGGTACTGCCGACAAAGGAAGACCGAAATGGACATATTTGGCCTAGTTGCCCCTGTCTGCCGGTCATAGCCAGACTCTAGCTGTCATCAGCCAAGCATTCTGACGTAATTATGGCGCATTTTCACTGGCCATTTGTCCTCACCGCCAGTATTCTAGGTTTATTCTGTCTAGACATCCCACCTTGCCATTTGCTTTCCACTCTTAGAAATACGGTTTCAGCGAAGTCTGCTAAGTGCTGAATGCACTTTTTCCCCACAGCCTACGAATTCGGCGTACTTTCATAAAGCAGAATGGGGGAATTAAGTGGTATTGTGTCGCAGTTGGCAGTTAATGCAGTATGGCCCACAAAACGGATCGATGACCTGAGTGCACCCACCAGGTGCCTACGCCTCAGTCCTTTCTGCAGTTTTTTGTCTATTCAACAGGTTTTACCTGTCTAACTGGAGTGCCGCATAGCGCTGGTCAGTAAGAGGGCGGCTTTTATCGTTAAGCCCATGTGTTCAATCTGTTGTCAGTAGAGCCTTGAGCAGCAGTAACATTGCCTTGGCGTACTGAAATGGTGACAGACAGGAGCACAGGTGCGAGGATGGTGGAGGAGCCGAAGGCGACGATCTTCATCATTAACGACAAGATGGAAAGCCCACAGGGATTGCTGGGGGACCCACTGACGAGCCGAACCCCCTCGTAGCTGCGCAAGGCAACGGTAGCAAATCGGTAGAACAAGTGTCTGGTCTTTTAGCTAGTACCTATGATGGGGGCGTGGGGAATCAGCCAACTATTGCTAGGGCCCGGTCGTGTATGTGTAACGAACAGACAGGCTCTCCACCCATTCCCAGCGTCAGACAACTGACCGGTTCGGGCGGTGGGCTAGTGCCTCTGAGCGGGAGGAGAGCGTGAGGTCGACGGTCATAGCGCATATTCCTCACTACAAACTATCTGACGCGCTTGAATCTATCACGGTGCGCTGAAGGCCCTGACTTGGAAGGCAGTCAGCTGACGGGATAACTCGTACTTCACAGTCAGCCGAGTGTGTGTTTGTGTGGAGTGGTCGACTGAGAGTCAGGCCGCAATAGCTCTTAATGTGACCTCTATGGCACTCCCACCCAGTGGGACCCGAGCTGCCACCCCCCTCCCCTTTTCTTTTATTGTGTAAAATCCTGGTCAGTGTACGTTGTGGACCGGAGGCGTGTTAGTACGCCTAGGTGCGAGTTTACGCCGTGTCAGCCACCTGCAGAGAAACAGTGTCCTGACTACTGTTTAGAAGTGATCCTGAGTACTTTCCGAGGCGAGTGGCTATGCCATCCTCCTGTGGGAATACTTATTCTATTCTCAGCGTTACCGGGGTGCGGAAGCCCAGCGAAATTTACAGGAGGAGGAAATAGGTGATGTCCGTTAACTGGAGCAGTTTGTATAGGGATGAGGGCAGAAGGTTATTTAAAAGTCTAACTGGACTCAAACAGATGTTGTCCAGTCAAGATACCAAAGAACGAACGCAATCCTGACTGGCTATCAAGATACCTTAGTAGAGAGTTAGGGAGAAAATACGAGTTGCACAAAATTTGCGGGGACCGGTTCAAAACGACATCTAGAGGGATTTCGTCAGCAGAATACATCCGTCGGACACGAATGCATTATGAATGCCAAATTATCCAAAAGGCCGGAGGGAAGCCTGTGATTTTATTTCATTACATCGCCAGTCGACTGAAGGGCAGGGACCCGGTCTCAATGCCTAGGGATTTGGACGACGCAAAAATCATTAAAATGACTAGAAAACCAATTGTTTACTTTCTTAGGGAGGGCGAGTTTAATATGACCATCAGTTCTCTTACGAATTACGATCAAGTTTTTGAAGCTGCGTCTTTCCTAGTGGCTGTTGTGGAAAATGATCTAAAAGATCTAAAAGGGGCGAAGTTGTTAAAGAACTTGACAATCTAATCCTCCAAGCCACCGGTAATAATCTTTTCTCACTTGAATTAGGGGCTGTCATCCAGATAAGAACAGCTAATATCTACCCCACATACGCAAGGGTGGAGCGCAATCCAGCGTCAACTGCTATCTATTCATCCGTTAGGCCTGCATTCGCTGCAAAAATGAAAAGTATACTTCAGAAATCAACCATAACGGTCTTGATGGAGAAAAACCTAGTCTCCGACAGAACCGTTCTTGGCTTCCCAACGTGTTGCTTTGGACTGACCAATGGACGCGTACTGGGAAGGAGGAAGGCTGGGGCGACTTCATCTACACGGACTTTAGGAAGGCCTTCGACAGTGTCCCAAACAAAACTGCTTTTTTCAAATTAACTCAAAGTGTAACAGAGGGCCAGCAGCTGCAATGAATCGCAGAGTACCTTATGGAGGATCACGAACCGTATGCAGTGATGCTTCGTTTTGAGTGGCGCGCCCCAAGGTTTGGTCAGTGAGAAGTCATTCATCCTAGTCTATACCGACAACAGTGTCGCGCCGTCGTGTTTGTCGAGTATATCAACAGCTGACGAACCATCGAATCCGGCGGGGCAGATGTGCACTTCTGCAGGGCCTGGATCGCCTTGCCGGCTGGTCTGTTCATTAGCTCCTAAATCTTAACGTTAGTAAGGACCAACGAGAAGGACAATTCTTTTTAAAACGTCCTTAACATACAGTCCCTTTTGAACGCTGGTGAAGAGAGGGACGTCAGTATGCCAATGAACTTCCCACCTAAACTATCGTCACACTCTAAAAGCAATCAGACGAGGGACATTAGCGCTATACCCATCGAGAAGAATTTCTATGTAAAATTATCAAGAATTGTTCGTTAAGACTTCTGGGGTGTTCAGTTGGCCTTCACTTGGGGTATGCTGTAGCGTCCATCGCTCAAGAAGGACTATCGACTGCACGAAATAGTCGAGACAGGGGCTACGAAAATGGTGGATCATTTCGGCGTTCTGGTATGCTAGGCCAGACGGCATAAACTTAATTCGTCTTCTCTAGTCTACAGGCCAATACACCTCGACATCATTAAAACCTACCGGATTTTCAAAGGCCGGGAGTCGGTTGGGATGGACAGCCTGCGTGGCCGGTCCTTTAATTTGCGAAATGAGTTGGTCTATATGGACATACGACGGGACGCTCTTTAACATAGAATCGGCAGAGCATTGGGGTGGATTCTTCTTTGGGGTGGCGCCTTCGGACACTTTTGTGGCGCTTCAATGAAGTCTTGATGCCCTTTTACTCACAAAATACCGTTTGCACACCTACAATCAAAACAATGGTAGGTCTTTGCGCCCGGTTAACACACATCGATGAAGTCGAATTCTACATACTTGCTGAAGTAAAACTTGTTTTTTGTCCTTTCAGAGCTCCAACGCTGGAGCGTTCTGTCCTAAATAAAGTAGCTCAAAGTGCCATAAATAACCGCAAGCGAGTATTCTGAACAGGGCAGGATTAACCGCTTATCATCGAGTCACTGTTTTGCCGACGCTTCACGTGCAGTGACTACTATAGCAATTCTTGAGAAAACGTTTTTGAAAACCTAACCGACTATCACCTAAAACAGCCGAGTCCGTGCTGAAGGCAGGACACAGATGCCGATTTAATATCTGAACATATCCGACGTGTATTAAAAAATGACTGAGATCCGGTAGTGACCTGACAAAAAAACGATCGGACGTCGGTTTCCGTCCTAAAAGCACAACATGGAGCAGAGCAATGAGGTAATGACGTGAGCTGGACGTCAGGCAAAACCTTTGGAATGCCACGGTATGGTCCAATTGAAACTCGAAGCCTCCTCGCTATCGACGAATTCAAAGGCATACCAGGCTCCCCATCCGTGGTTCAAATGGTTTCTTTTGCTGCTGCTGCCGCCGCCGCCGCCGCCGCCGCCACCACCACCACCATCACCACCACCACCATCATCATCATCGTCGTCATAATCGGTCGTGCTCTTCTGACCTGCCTCAAGGTTCGTCCTCGATTCCTTCATTTGTCTGACGTAGTTTTCTCCTCAACTCCGTCTATGTTGACTGCTGGTGGGCTAGTCTGAAGTGGCATAATTGTAAGTCACATGAGAATCGCGTCCACGGATTGAGTCAAACTGAGGGGCGGAGTGTGGAAGGTTCGGAGTTCCGCGTCTAGAGCCCATGCGGGCGGTCGTACGGCAGCCAGCAATCAACGGTCGGAAAGTGTTACATGAGCAGCCGAAGACTGCAGTTCCAAAGCGATGTGGGTGCCCGCATTCCATGATACGATTGGGTCAGAATGGTGAACGCTCAGACAACGTGACTAAGTATTCCAGATTACAACCGACAGGACGAAGTTCCCTGACAGAACGCCACGCTCCATAACGGACTGGACACTTGCTGATATCTGAGTTAGTCATGCCCGCAGAGACGGGATATGGTTGGCTGACGGTGGACCCAAAACGAGAAATTGCGATTCGTATCATCTTTGTATATTTTTCAGCAAGGCTTTTCGAAACGCAAGCTCATTTCCGAAATAGCGGAATTCGTAGGCGTTTATATGACCCTCTAGTTGTCCTCAGTTCACAAACCTGGTGCAAGTGAATGTAACTCGTCAACACCCCTCTGCTATCTTACGTCTGCTGGTTTCTCAGTTAATCTTGGGGCTTCTGAATGACTGACCTTGCTCTTCATGAACGAAATCGATTCAGAATGGTTTATACTCTGCAAATTCACCCCGTATCTGCGGTATCAACTACATGCTACGCTTGTGTTCATCCGAGCAGATTTGTACCAGTTGCCCATCCTCACCTGCTTTGAAATTTTTTCTGCAGGAGCTTTATGAGTTACGCAGCATAATTAGGAGGGATACAGTTGATGAATGCGTATGCGGCGTCTCTACATCGCCCTATTTAGAAGACTTGTTTTGGGCAGTTTTTCCTTTACGGTCTAGGACGTAATTGTTCCGAGCAGTTTTCATTTCAGATGTCGAGCGAACTGTGCTTCGGGTGCTGGAGGTGTTAGTGGGCAGTGATCCAGCGGTACGTGGTTATACTATTGGCCAATGTGTCTTCTGACTATGTCTGAAGTTGACATTTAATTAGCCGGTGAGCCAAGCGTCGCACACCCTCATCAACCCGACGTCAAGCCTTCCCAGGGGACGGCTTGTTCGTGGCAGGCCTTCCGCCCCGTTGGGGAGACAAACAGGTCGCTGCACATCACTGCCTTCATTAACCCCATTCTACATCTTCCGTCTCTTTTTCTCTCCCCCTGCCTCTCTCGTCCTATTTGCGGAATTCTCAAGATTACGCCCTTTTGTTTTGAAAACGCCGCTAGGGGCTTATTGGCTGTTGGTTGTAGTGTGAGTTTGGGGAAGTGGGAGGCTGGCATACTCAGCGTAAAATTGATGACGCAACCTTTGAGGTAAGACCGATTCTGTTGCCTGTATTAGATAAAAAAAACCGTCAATTTGCGAAATAGAAGCTGGCCGCCCTGCCTGTTTACTCTTTGTTGTTATCGTCAGCGAGTTTAGGGGAGTGTCGCTCTGACGAAAAGATACCAAGATAAACAAGGTAACCGGAACTCCACTACTACTACTACTACTACTACTACTACTACTACTACTACTACTACTACTACTACTACTACTACTACTACTACTACTACTACTACTACTACTACTACTACTACTACTACTACTACTACTACTACTACTACTACTACTACTACTACTACTACTACTACTTCTTCTTCTTCTTCTTCTTCGTCTCCTTCTTCTTCTTCTTCTTCTTCTTCTTCTTCGTCTGTTTTTGCTCTTGCAATCGAACTTAGACTCGTTCTTCCATTTGAAAATCGTCCTCTAGGTTTCACATATTCGGCAAACATTTAGTTATAATGGACTTATGCTTCTTCTCGTTGTATGAAACATCTTTGATGGGCTGCAAAAAAGAAACGTTCTGAAGCAAAACTGTTGTAGTATAACGAAACGACTGTGGATATCAAGAAAGGCTAGCAACGACTCTTTTAACCGAAGTCCCCCGTATATGTCTGTGGGAGAACTCATACGGCGCTGCTACCCGTAAAGCAAATCAAATGATCGTACAATTTCGGAAACCAATAATATTCTGTGAAATTAAGCCTTGGTCCGTTAAAGCAAACAAGTTGGAGATGTCTGGACGAATGTACCCTTTGTGAATGGCCTCCACAAAAGCAAAGTAGGGTGTTGGAATCAACTGGACATACTTTTGGCACGGTAATCTTCTATTCTCAAGGATTACTTCCAACAAAGTATTTTTAATTTGAATTTCTGTCTCCCTTCTAAAACCGCAAATTGTCCTTTAGCTCATGGAGGCGCTGTCCGTGCCTAGAGAGCTTATAAATGGAGAAATCCGGCATAACAAAGCAGGAGGGCTTGTCTCCATAACGTAATCAGAGGTTCCGGACTGCAACTTTGGATACTTGGTGCGGTAGTCACCAATCGGAACGCGGGATTCCGCCGACGGGTGCTGCGTTAGTTCTTGCACTCCATGGGCGCAAAGGTATCTGCGTGTAATCCGGACGAGTCGCTGATCTACGTCCCGCTCTGACTACGGACGGCGTCCGACGTTCTCCTGAGGGGACGGGGAACAACAGGGCAGAGTGGGGGGGGGGAGTGTGACGCGAGACGAGCAGCTGCGCATAACCGGAAGGCCAATCGCGCGAGTGCAAACTGACCAATCAGTTGACTGGCTAGAGTCTTAGTGACATCCAAGCCTCTTGACTCGTCTCACCACCCACCTCCCCCTCCCCCCCCCCCTAACGCTTCCGTTAAATGTAGGCAGTCAACAATGCCGGCCACGAACCGGATAGAGTAACACTTTATGTTTACTCGCGATACTCGGGGTTCAGGGTGTTTTCAACACTTAAGGACTGCATTCCGCTCCGCGAGATGAAGATGGCCACCGTTTCATCTCCATTCGAGGCGAATTTCAGTATCTACTGGAGCATTTTCCGGAAGATGGTTGCGAAGGTTTCAACCGCACGTCCTATGTGTCTGAGTGCACCAACCAGTATAGTGAGTGTGAATTCTTCTACCTTGCATATCCAACAGTTTTATGTGCCGTGGGTGCTAAAAGTGGTAGTCGTCGTTTTTGTTTTAAGAACACAGACGGACTTTAATTGTAGCTGCAAAGCCGTCTTCCGCATTCGTAATATTGCCATCAAAACGGGTTTTGATCAAGGTTATTTCCCAAGTAGCCTGACAGAGATCTGGCCGGGGTTACTGGTGGACCACGTAAAAAATGCCGGACAACATGCGTCTGTATTTTGTCATATGAGCCCCTTCCCCCTTCCCGACACAGTTTGAAATGATAGTATCCTAACAAATGAGAGCTCTTATCATCAGAAAATAAGTCACAGAGAAAAGAAAAAACGGTACAACTATAGGCAGACTTATGTTGCACTATTAAGGTGCTATCCAACAACATGCGAAACGTTGCCATGTAAAATATAGGGGCATATTTTGAAGAAGGATACACGATCGCTAGGACAAGAGCTTTATTGGCCTGACATTTCGGATTCCTGCTCGAACCCAGCACCAGAGACAAAAGCAGATACGGGTGGTTCATACATAAGGGGCCACAGTATTTATAGGATGCAGTCGCCAGGCTACCGCATACCTATGAATGTTCACGGCTCCCCCCTTCATCCGGGATCGTCGCATTTGGTGTGATGGCCGACATCCGCGTCGTTAATTGCTGCAATTTCATCACGTGCGTTGAATGTTGGTGTGATGATTGCTCGACCATCTGACGAGCCGACCCTGGTGTTGGGAAACGTTTCCACCTGGCATATAATGTCTTACTGTTTGCTGGTGACCTTAGACCGCAAAGTGACCGTTACCGTGTCGGGTCTTAGATGGATTCAAACTTCAGGAGTTTTGTCCAGTGAGGTCTTGGAAAGGTCTACGAGATTCTTACTCCCCTCTTCCCCGGTGCATATCGGTAGCAGCCGACAAAAAAACTGCCCCAGGGTGCCAGGCTAGTAAAAGCCAAAGTTCTCGGGTGGGTCGCACCTTCAGTCCGTTGCAAGGTTTTGCAGCCCGAAGGCGTGTGTAGACGCAGTCCCGGACGCTACGCAGAAGGAACTGGATTTCCTGCTCAACCACTGCAAGACCCCCTCGACCAAGCAAAATCCTCAAGCGAAGCAGACCGTACATTTGACGCAGGAGTTAGCTTTTGACCTATTACCTTATCGTAATTTAAACACAGTTGTAGGTAGTTGAAAACTGCCTCTGGGCAGTCCTTGCTGTACTGAATGGGCCCCACAGTCAAAACCATCACGCGAAGTCCTGGTTTGCAGAAAATGGAAGACGCCAAAATGAGGGGATTTGCTTTGTGCGGAATCCCGAGCTGCAGTAACAGCGACCAGCGAGGTCAGGGCTTCTGCTACCAATGGTAAATCCTGCCTGAGAGAGATGTCAGCCGCTTTTACGGGTTCGCGAAGCGAGTTCAAGGGTCTTGTGCATAAAGTGGTAGGGAAGATTGAAGCCTTCTGGATGTATGTGTGTACATGTCGCAGCCGTCCGGACTGAAAGTTCAGTGAGTCTGGGAATATTCGCAGAGAATGTGAATCCCTATGACCTCGCGCGAATATGAAGTGCACCGCAGTGATTGTTTTCGGGTACAGAGTAGTAGAAGAAAAGCAATAGTGCTACCTTGCACGAAAAGAGCCTCCACGAAAATTGCTCGACGGATTTGGTACTGCTCTTCCTATACTTGCGTATAGAACCGAAATATTTTTTTGACTGACAGACTCTATTAGTTTGTTTTCGTTTTTGTTTTCCGCAATCTAAGTGAAGACTATGCTCCTAACCAATTTATAGCTGCAGGCTGTCAGACACAAGAACGTGTTGCTTTTTGCAGCATGATGCTGGATCTTTGTATAATGCACGGAGAGGAGCCGCGTGGACTGTCAAAAAGTTTTGGTGGGTGCGCGGGAATCGTCAGTTACCATGCTCATCGCGATGAGGGCTGGCACGACTCTTGCGTCGGGGCTCTTCTCCAGAGTTAAAGCAGTCCAGATTGATTGGGGGGCAGCATTTCTCAGAGTTGAAATGTTGACATGCCTCTGTACTTCGAGGGCATAACGAAACCAAGAAGACCTGCAGGTGCAGACCGCCATATTAAGGGATATAACAATGCAATGTCTTCTACTTGCAAATAGTCTACTACCTTACCGATCACTTCGCCGTAAAATGGCGAGAGCACCAAGACGAGACAAGATAATAGCTGGCTAATCGGAACAAGATAAAGTAAATATACGACAGTCATGGATCGAAGGAATCATCGTTACCTCTGATGGATTAAATTGTATAGGTCACAGTGAGTATCGAAACGCTCAATTATGATGAGTCTTTAAAGACGGGTTGGCAAACAGTCGTTTTTGTAGGATGCATTTACTTAACTGAGTAATTTGTGAACACAAGTGTGTCCGTTTACTGGAACACAAATGTACCTTGCCGGAGGTACGTCGACTGGGCACCAACAGCAACGGTTATTAGGGTCAGTTTTGGTTCGGGAGGGGAATGCACAGATCACAACTTTATGATCAATTTACCATAAAAAGCGTGGATTGGACGTACGCATGGCCACGATACACATAAAGCCCGTACGAATCTCGTCTGTACACGAGGGTCAGGGCTCCCGATTTGCATGACTATTGCCTCCGGTGTTGTCGGGAAGTGTCTTTACGACAGCCTTTGCGGTTGTTCATCAGATGGAGTGCTGGAGAAATTTCGCTGGCGTCCACCCGGTGTTCAGGTATTTCAAATGCAAACCTGAGGATTTATTTAAGTCACTTTTCTGCAGCCGGATTAGCGTGTATTCCTTCATTCACCTGTAGACAATCCGTGCCACCGAATTGGTGTATTCTACTTTTCAGAAAGCAGTGCAATATAGATTGACGTTCGAGTGGTCTTCAGCGCCCGTTTGTCGTCGCCTCCCATTGAAAGGAACTGGGAGCTTATAAAGGGCTGCTTAAGTTAAGAGACGCCGGGTCTGCGGCTAATTTGCGTTCTCCTAATCAGCCGTACGGGCCTTCTCTAAATGCTGAACTAGTGGACAAGCTTCCATTTTCCGGTATACTGAACTGCGCCCAAGACATGAACATCTGCCAAAAAAACAAGCCAAAAATGCCGGTCATCTAGGGCGTGTTTCCTAAAAATAGCACCGATTCGCAATCTCTGACTCCCACTAGAACCTGAGTTTACTTATTTTCACTTTTACACAGCCTTCGTATTTAAGGCTCCAACTGCAGCGCTGAACATGGTTCCCTCAAATAGCAAAATCATTAAAGAGGTGCCATTGGATTTTTATTGTGTAAAAGTGACCGACTTTGTTATGGAGCATAATAAATGTTCCGGTTCAAATGTCTGATTTTAAAGTGCTACCTATGGAAGGCGTGTATGAGGATCTCCCACATAGCAAAGGTTTGGCAATCCAGTCAGCGATCCGAACATTCGGAGTACCGAGTCCCATAATGATTTGCTTCCCCAAAGTTCCACCGTTCCGTGTTAAACAAATTGTGATAATGATACTAAAAATCCCCAAAACGATATAATGGGCTCAGCCGCCAGCCGATGACGATCTTGTAAGTTTTTTCCGGCTCAGTAAACACATTGTCAGGTTTTTTTTATTCTCGCAAGGGGTTGTTTTTTAAAAAAAAGTGACAAACACCCGTTCACGCCGACAAGGTTAAACCTACCGCAGTTTATGTGTTAGCGCGTTGGCAAGCTACCCACAGATGGTGATCTTTGTAATTGTAGGTAATCCTAGATTCCTTAATGTATCGTCGGCACAGCAAAGTGATCAAGGTGACTGCCGACAGGCTTGCGCAAATGTTGGCGATCGCTTTGGCGCAACATTTTGGCACCACAGACAGCATCGTCTTGCGTCACTCTCTGACCGACGGCCGACGATAGGGTCCTCGCCGGCTTAAAACAACTGGGAAGAAAGATGTCTACAGCAAAGTAACCATTGGTCATACCAGAGTTCTAAACGAGAAGGCCGACTGGCTTAGAAAACAACCTATTCTGTTGTTGATAATGCTGCTGTTCTTGGAAAGCTACTGACAGTCTTAATGTCGGCACTCCTGTTTGCATTTAAGAAGAAGCAGACGGCTTCGGTCTTCTGCCAGAAATAACAATTGGCTACCGCCACCGCCATAAAAGTAATGCCTCTGACTGCAAAATTCTGGTTCCTGCTGTCTAAAATGCGCGAAAAAAGGCCACTCAGAGAGGTAGTGCCATTAAAACGGCATTGCATTGTAGATGAAGACAAGTGACATATCCTGGGATCGCACAATCCCAACCGTACCAAGGCATCAGCCGTTCTTATCGAAGAACTTCGAAAAGTGGTAAGATGTGGTTTGGTAGCCCCACCTGATGGCACAATACTGCCGAAGTTGGGGTTCAGGGTTAGGCGTTAGGGTAAGGGTTAGCGGTTGAGGTTTAGGATAAGGGGTTATGATTAGGAAGTAGGATTAGAGTTAGGAGTAAGGGCAACTATTTCTCAACCATTCAAAGTACAACCACGCACTCCCAATAGTTTTTCTTTTGTATACAACTACTTGACGTCGTCACCTGTGCGTTCTCCAGCTCGACCTGTAAAACCCCTATTACCACCGGTCATTTATTAGAGGTGACTGGCGTTTGTTTACTTCAGGTGGAGCTACCACACCACATCCGACCGAAAAAAATTATGTTTTTTGGCTCTTGCTCCAGTTTTAGAACCTGAGCCCGCCCATCTTTGAACTAAATCTGACCAATGAAAACTCCTAACGGTGTTTTTAGAGACTAATGAGTACTACATCCACATTGGACGACAGTTTACCATTTTGGGACGAACCGTGCCTCATTATCAGGTGGGGGCTCCGTTCCTTGGTCATGGAGCATCTCGAAGCTATGGTCCCACTTACATATTTAGCCACTTGATTAGGTAGGCACCGATGTAGACTGAATAAAACTCTCTCACCTTACGTATAAGGAGACGTGAACAGCGCAGCGGTAGTACTTTCAGGAGCAAACAGGCTTCTATTCAGCATATCGGTTGTCCTCAAAAAGGCAATAAATCATTATGGCATTATAATGAGCAGAGTGCCAAGCGACATGCAATAGCGCCTCCTTCCTTGCCGGTAGGCCCCAGGGGTCTGGATGAAGATGTCCAACCGAAAATCCGAGAACCATAAAGAATCATTCCTCTGCCAAGCCATCCCGCACGGTCCTTTCTAGGCGAGCCACGGCTCAAACGGGCTATAATCTGAATGCTTTGTTGAATACGTCGAGGGTTAGTGGTGTCCAAAGGAGTAATTTCCTTCCCATCGGAAATAGCGACCAACAATAGGTCGTTTATCTAGTAGTACGGAATCCACGGATTCTGGAATTGAGATTTATATCGTCTTCCTCCATTACTGTATATTTGAGAAAGGAGTAATCTGAATAAACTTTAATTCGGTGCTTAAAAGAGTCCAGTGTTTTTGAAAGTGCCTCAAGAGTACGATGGGAGGGAATTTAATACTCATAATTTCTTCAACTGATTACACGCTAGGAAAGGAGTCCTTATGGTAGCTATATTGTTGACCAAAACCAGGTATCCTAAGTAGCTTCTGATGCGTTTCGTTTGCTTCTCCATCTACTTCATCTGCAACCAAGTCCTCATCAAGGATTCACGAAATTATTTTGAATGCCGGCCTAATACACAAACACGGTCGTCTCATCCCAATTCTGAAAAACCTGTCCTTTCGAACACATGCGGGGTCGCACTGTAGACGAAAGCTTGTGTGGGACCTCCCCACTTGCTCTAAAATAAACTTGTCTTTGCGGGCTCGAACCCATTCGAGAAATATGCTTCGTTGCTCCCTTGAATGAAGTGTAAAACATTCTTGTACAGCTTTCTGTGCCATCGCAATTTAAGGGTTGGTTTCAGTTAACCCGCTAGTAGCCGGTGTTTAGAAGAGGGGGCTGCGTCTACCGGAACAGGATGTTTATTGATCTGACGTTTCGGATTCTCACTCGAACCCATCGCCAGAATGGTGGTAGAGACACAACAAGAGCACTATTTATAGGCGGCAGTTGTCATGTCGTCACATGCCTGCAGTAATTAACGGCACTCGTGCGCAACGCTGGGGGTCGTATATGGTGCGATGGCTGCAGAGGCCTACGCCAACGGGTGCTAGCTACAGCCGAGGCAGTGGCTATACGGCCAGCCAATCCGGTCCTATGCTTTCAGAAGACTCTGACACAGGCGCTCTGTCTTTCATGGCCAACGCCGACTCCAACGTCGCCCCAACCTCCTGATGTCAGTGGTGTGTGCACAACGTACCCGACGTACAAACATTACTCACAGCCTATGTCCTCGCCCCATTGACCCAATGACCACGACACACAGACCACGCCATAGCACGCCTCGTCATGCGAGTGGCGTGGGAACGATGGGTGTTACTAGCCCCCGAATCACTTATAAGCCCTGTAACTTCGCATAATTTGAACTTCTATGTAACCGTTTTGGCCTGATGAAGAGTTGCCGAAAACACGTGTTTGCCAAATTAACTTTTCAATTGTAACATGGGAATATTAGCTGAACTTAGACTGCTTATCAGTCCGTATCCGAATCGCTGATGGTCGTGATTTCATCGCCGTTATCGATTTGTAGCGTGACGATTACTCGGTCATTCGGCTCCATGTCACCGGAACTGTTGGTCGCCTACGCCCTCCCCGCGGGGCTAATAATTTTGCTCTGGAAAAATCGTAGCATAGAATATGATCGCCGAAGATAATTGCGCTTGTCAGTTGAATGCAGGCCGGAGCACCATGATTCATGCCGCTCGCGGTTCAAGCAGCGCACACTCCCTATGAGGATTTCGACATCGTCACGCTTGAAGGTGTGGATGGGCCACGTCGAATGAGCCGTGATCGGGGAGCTGGTAAGGTGATAGTTGGTAGCCGTGTCCACAGACTCCCAAATGGTACCTACTGGCTCGATTTCAGTAGCTGTGATTGCGCTCTCATTATGCTTCTAAATTCACGCGCACGCTGTATTACCTGTATCACATTCATTTTAGAGGTGCTATCCTGGGCACATTTGCACCGGTAACGATGACAATGAGGCTTACCCTAGGTCAACTTTCATTAGAAGAGTTAGTTGTCAGCCGTGCCCACAGAATCCACAGTTGTACCTGCTGGCTTGATTTCAGTAGCTATGATTACGTTCTCATTATGCTTCTAAATTTACGCCGTATTACCTGTACCAGATTCATTGTGGAGGTACTATCCTGGGCGGATTGGCACCGGTACCGATGACAATGAGGCTTTCCCTACATCAACTTCCATAATAAGAGGTAGCTTTTGACTGCCTCATTCATTGTAGAGGTACTATCTTGGGCGGATTGGCACCGGTAACGATGACAATGAGGCTTACCCTTTAGCAACTTTCATTAGCAGAGGTAGCTTTCGACTGTCTCATTATTTGCGGATTTTCTCTTCCGCCCAAACCAATCTTTCGCATAAAAGTCTTACCCGGCTTACGTTGTGGCGTCCCGCGTGCCGCTGCTGGACTCTCGTGTTCTTCTGTCCATTATGTTGGACGGAGTTCTATCGCACACACTGCGGAATGACCTTCGGACAAGCTGTCTTCTTCCCATTGGTTGTTCGCCATCACTTGCTTTTCTTTCCTATCTGAGGCTAGGATGCATTTATTCCGCACACCGTTCAAAGTCTCCTTGCTCATTTCCATACCTTCCTTGTATTTTTCACCTAATCTAAATTAGGCTTCCACTTTACCTGAAGCGTCAATTCCTAGCATATACTACAATCGCCATTTACCCGTCCACTCAATTGTCCCACCCGTATGGCCCCTATTACCTCCGGTCCCGATTGACAGGCAGTTGGGACTTTGCGGTGTCAGGAGGGCTACCAAGTATCATCTAACCGGGGAGCTAATGTAATTCCTCTTCTCTGCTGTTGCTGCTGCTGCATATTCGGCCATTCGCGTTTGGAGCAATCTTGCAGCTTCTCCGAGGTAGTTGCTCTGTCCGCAAACTTACCCGATCCGGTAAACGACTGCAGACGCTTCCTGCCCTGGCGGCGGATCCGCTGGCCTCATTACCTGGCGCCTCATGGTTGTCTCCGGTCTGCAGGCAACTCCAACTCCAAATGGTGTCAGAAGGCAGCTGACGGCTTCTGAGACGTTTTTCGCATACGGGAGCGCCCACAAAGATTCGGGGCCGGTTGCATTTTGTCGCCCGTCCTGTTTACGCATGCACTCATTAACGAAGTTGCGTTGATTACCATTAGCCCTAGACACCCGTCTAGATGTTGTAATTCGGTGACCTTGTCCTCTGGTTCACTGCAATGCCTCTCAACAGGTAGTTGTGGCCTGTTGGTTGGTTACTGTTGAAGTTCAGTACTTTCGTCGTGGTAGTCGCTTTCCTGAACACTTTAGATTTTAGGCCATAACAATCTGTGCGACAGACGTGGACATCAAGGAGGGCCAGCTGCTTGTTTTCTTTGTCTCCCATCGTGAATCCTATGTCCTGAAAGATGGCGTTAAGACGTCTTTTGAATGCCATCACCTGATCCCGTACGATGACGACAAAGTTGACGTCCACATACCGAGCCCAGAATTTCGCTCTCTGGCGTCCGAAGACCAGTGACTTCAACCGTTGTAGGACCGTTTCAGCAATGAGTCCCGAAATCGCGAACCCACTGGCGTGCCTTTCACTTCCTTGTAGACCGTTATATCGAACGTCTTAAGACAGAACTTCAGGAGTTGGAGGATATGAGCATGTCTGAGATGATTCTCTATCTTATCTTATTTGTTCGTTAGGAGTGACTTGACAGTCTCGACTGCCATACCCTGCGGAATAGATGCAAAAAAGGGATCATTAAAAGATACCAGGACGCCGCCGGTAAGATAATTATATATTTACGTTTATCCAACGATTGTGCTGACGAGCTGACTGTGGTGTCTGCATCAGCTGTCAGAAATCCAAGACGATGAAACAGCCACTTTAACACTCTGCAGGTTGGAGTGCCTTTGAGTGATACGATAAGTAGGAGAGGAGCGCCGACTTTGTGCACTTTTGGGAGAGCCATAAAATCAGACCAAGGTCGTTTCTTGCGCATTAATCATGCGTCGATCGGTTGGCGATATTATACCCGAGTTCTCGATCGTCAATAATTTCTCATTGGCTTCACGATTCAGCGTTTTTATGGTGTTGAATTCGCATGGGACGTAGAACCTGCGATCTTCTAGGGAGCATTTGGCTTCTAGAAGGTAATATGTCCTGTCCAATAAGATAGCGGAAAGCCCCTTGTCCCCAGGCGCGGTGATGAGGCCCTTTTCGGCCTTGAGTTCCCTCGGTGAATAGCGTCTGACCTAAGGAGACTCTTTGTCCGACCTATGAGACATGAGGAGGGACGATATTTGGTGTCGAATACGATTCTTCCTTTCGTCTGCCGTCCTCTGCTGAAGCGGTTTTGAACCGTTCTTGCCCACAAACTCGCAGGACTTCGTCTTCTCTTTCTCAATCCTCTGACGGTATTTTTGAAGCCTCTAGTGACAGCCTTGCAGTAACACCCGGATCATTCGTCATCAGTTTTAAAATACTGTGCGTCTCGGTAGCTCAGTGTTTACCGGAAGTTTGTATAAAATGGTGAAATTTTGTTTGCCGAGCTTCCGGAAACTCGCTTATTCTCTTCTATCGACAATAGTTGGTATCTCAGTAAGTCCAGAGATCACAGGATTTGTGTCCAGCATTGTACGCCAAATTAAAATACCGCCAACTTTATCATGGGGCTTTTTAGGCCAGGGCTAGAGTCGGCGGCGCATAGTTAGTTTGTAGCAGAATTGTCATTTTTCGGTTCCGTCCCGTTCTAAAAGCTGCTTGTCAAAGCTAAAAGTCACCTAAAATGTAAATGACAATTTGTCCAGTTATTTTTCTTCGAAGAACGAAGACGAGCATAATAAATATATGACAGATATTTTGAGTGTGAAGGGCTAATCATAAGATATCTCTATTTACATATGTATAACAAGGGAGTTTTCCGGAGACTCGATGCGTACTTGCGGATTCTAAAGCTCTTGAAACTCGCCCTTTGTCAGAAGAAACGAATAGTGAGGGCGAGAAAATCAAGCCAGTCTTGGAGCCATCGAGATATAATTATTTGAAAGACGTCCATGGAAGTTGTTAATGTCACCAGCTATAAACTTCACGAGTGCAAAGTTAGTTTTGCGAAGAACCTCGTATTTTCTCACTACATCAACTGGGAATGCCCATTACTGCAGTTTCATGCAGAATAGAGTTGTGGGGTTGAGAATGGCTGGCGGATAAATTCGACTTTTAAGCCAGAAATGGTGACTCCAATCTCCCTTGCCTTTGTTCGTACTCCCTCTTGCATCATTCCCGGTCTTTATGCGACTTTCTATGGGAGCTCTACAGTGACCCCCAATGCGTAAAGAGGTGGATATGTTCCGTAAGCCTATTAGTGATATACATCTATATATATAACAGATGGTAATGTCCTACTCCGGAAATAGGTACTAGTTAAAAACCCAGCCGCTTGTTTCGCCGATATTTCTGTCGCTGCATGACACAGCCGGGAGTGATTCGGATCCTAAGTGGGTCCCCCAGCGTTCTCAATGCGGTTTCTGGTATGTAAACTCCAGTGAATAATCAGGGTAATGAGTTTAAAAATTATTAAGTGCGGAAAATAGAGTTAAGTTCCCAGGACATGGCTTCTAGCGTCCTAACCGAGATTTCAATGAACATTTGAGTCGAAGACAATCGGTCATTGTGGAATAACCGCGCCTTTTCCATCTTGCAAACAAGTAGTACCACTGGTAGTATAATTTTGTATGACAGATGGTCATACCGTACTCCCGACACAGGTGATAGCTAAAGCTCATATATACGTGTATGAATGCGTAGAAAAACTCGTAAAGACACGGAAGGCTTGAATGGAATTTCTAGACTAGCGGCCGTTGCCAGTCAGTCGTAACCGATCAGAACTACGACCTACCTGGAATTTGAACTCGGATGTTTTGGTAATTATGTGCTAAGTAGAGGCTTCCACCATTAAACCACGGACCCGTCGTCTCGTCTGTTACAATCGAAAATGTTAGATATGATTGAAGGTTCGTTCGCCGATCAGGATAGGAAGATTCTCGTTCGCTGCACCGTGAGACTCCATCTGGAGCCTTCGCGGACAGTCGCGCAGCGAACACAGGTATACACAGAAGGGGTGAACCGGCGAAGGCAAGTGCGATTAGGATGGCCATTTCTGGTTAGCAGGACCCGAGATAAAAATCCGCGTTAGTTGGTCATACAGCGTAATTAAATCCTACGCTCTACCCCTGCGCCATAGTTTCGATGGACACAGAAACCGAGTTCGATCTTCGGATCCCGGAAACCTGGGTTTGTGTAAGTCTGGCTGACAACGGCAAGTAAACCAGAAACGGCATCAGCAGGCCTGTAGCCGATTTTCAGATGGGCGCACTTTCAGGCACCTGAAGAAACCCATTCGGGAAAAGTGACTACTTAAATTGGGCCTTTTCCATAGATTTTAGATGCCTGTTTAAATGAAATGAAAGGAGGTAGAAGGGTTCATTCTGAATACCCATTATTTAAGGAGATGCATTTTTAAATTCCTTCAAAGAAAGCGTATCCTTCGCTTTTAAAACGTTTCTTTGAGTCTTGCGCCAATTCAGACCTAACTTACTATCCGGTATGCGTTTGCAGGTTACCAAAGTACATGCTGCCTAATCTCCATTTGAGGAAAGTCATGCGTATCTCTTTATATCGGTGGGGTAGACCGTCGAATACTCACAAAATTTCGCATTGAATATGGGTCGCGTTGTATAAGCGTCTTACCACTTCCCGTGACGTCAAGCTCTTGGGAGATAGGCAAATACGCTTCCTTCAAGTACACATTTAGGGCAATATGTTATTTCCTGCAAAACTAGTTCTCAGTGCACTCTTTTAATAAACGATGACGGGGTCTATGCAGGTCCTGGAAATAAATGTGAAAAGGCGCTCCGTACAAACGGTCATTTTTTAATGAAGTTTATGTGGCTGTCTTGGAAGATATTCACTCAAAAACGAACACCCTGGCTTGTGCTGGATGTCAATCAATTTTGCAATGTTATCGCAGTAGCCCTTTCCAACCGAAGTCACGTTTTAAGATTACACTCAATGTTTCATAAGTTTCGCCAACCACTATATGCATAGTACAGTTTGCACAGACTTGTGAGTTACAACATAAGAAAAGCAGGGATTGCAAAAAACCAAAAAATACTCCGAGGTTGAAGTTTTAAGCATTTTTTAGATTGAAATTATATAGCTGTCATATGATTTGCCTGTTTTTTTTTTACTATTAAGATGTACCAAAACGTGGGAAGGACTTTTTTGGTAAGATGCGGTTATGTAGCTCCACCTGTTTGAGACAATACTGTTGCTGCTGTGGTTAGGAGTTAAGGCTTTGTGTTAGGGTTGAGGGTTATAATAAGCAGTTAGGGCTGCGGTTAGGGTTGCGGATAGGGTTAGGGGTTGGAGTTAGGAGTGAGGGTTAGGGCAACTTCTCAACTGCTTTAAGTACAACTGCGCATTCCTAATACCCTTTCTTTTGCATACAATCACGTGACCTTGTCGCCTGTACGTTCCCTGCATCACCTCTAAAACCCCCCAATACCACCGGTGCCGTATTTCAGGTGGCTGGGGTTTGTTCACCTTAAGTGAGGCTACGTAACCACATCTGACCGATATTCGGCACCAGTTGGCATGGCTTAACTAGCGCCCCTAACACAACTCAAATGAAATAAGGTGTTGAGCCCTCAGCCTCACTCTTTGGGACAGAGAGCAAGCAAAACTAGAATTTCGGTGTCTTCACAGGCAACCGGAGGGTGCATTTCGAGTTTTTGGCAGATCTTATTCACCGGCTGTAAAAACATGCTGAGAGTTACAGATGCTCAGAATTCTGCCAGGTGAACCAGGACCTTTTTGTGCAGCAACATTCAAAATCTCGATTTGTCCTCTCACCTATATTCTATTTATTCCATCTTCGGTCACAGCGCTCTGTCAGGACGAAGTTTGTCTTTATGACCAACTGAAGTGCCTGCTTTTAAAAAGTGCCCATGTAAGTCTACGTGAGAACATTAAGAAAACTCGTCCACGAAGGCTTGGAAATGAATGACGGGTGAGGATAGCCCACATGCCCCCTAGGAGGACACAGGAATAGAAACGACTCTCCCAGCCCGCAATACAGGTGGTCTTTAAATTCCAGGAATGGTACCTATTCCCATGTTCTAATCCTAACACTAATCTTAGATCAAACCCTGAGTGTAACTCAAATTTTAACCCCAACTCAAATCCTCCAAGTCTATCTTAACCCCAAACTCAACTTTAACCTTAAACATCACCCTAAACTTAGCTCTAGCATCGACCTTAACCCAGGTAATAATTTCGTTGGAGTCTAGCATAAAACTACCTGTATTACGGACTGTTCCTATTCCCATGTTCTGCTGGAGTGAACATATAAACAATCCTTATCAAATAGTGTCTCGGTTATATGCGTTGTTATACGGTAGGCGTTTCTACGTCCGTTTTGCGTTTTATTTGAGTTTTATGATTCGAATCGAGCTAAATAACTTTTATTTTTGACGAATCTTCAGGAAATTAATCGATGCAATCGTTAGGCCATTTTTATATTTCGTTTTATCCCATATAATATATCAGGCGAGTTTTTCGGCATTGTCGTCTTTTATCGTCGTTTTACCCTCTTCCCTCTCAACTAAAATTATCAACCTTACTGCTGCATTTACCAACCTTTTTAACTATGCAAAAATGCCTTCACCTCTCCCGGACCTTTAACTAGACGTGTGGTCAACTAACAGCGTCATTTAATGATTACTGACCGCTGACCGGACAGTTTATGTCGCAACTGCGTCGATTCTCTTTTCACTTTCAGTGCAGCGGTCCCACGTTGGGCGCCCACCGGCCGAACGCTCAGGTCTCGCGCGCACTGAATATGTGGCTTTGCGCACCTACGGAATTGGAAAGTGAAAGCAGAGGTCAGTCTACTGCTCACTCTCAATCTGACCCGCGCAATTGTTTTAGCACCGTTTCTGCTCGGAGGGGAGGGATAGGGGGGGGGGTGGAGTGTGGAGCTGCAGCACATTTAAGTATGTTTTCGCAGCTGGCTTTCTGTACCCTGCTTCACGGCAAAAGTTAACTTGAAAATGGCTTAACTTTGAGCCAGGACACGGAGACGCCATCTTCCCCCTACACATACTGTGGTGTTTTGGGGCTCCTGTAGGAGAACCAGTATCGTTTTGTGGTCTATGTAGATCAAAGAAGCCCCCTGGTGCAGTCATAAGGGAAATTATAAGGGGGGGGGCGCTGGTTCAGGCATGAGTAACCGTCTTTCACCGAAGGTGGCGTAGATTCTCGAAACCCAAGTAAATGAGCATTTCACCGCTCATGTGCTGCTTCGTCAGCGCTCCAAGTTCGCGAAGACCCTTTTTCATTCCCCCACCCCCCCTTGGCTGGCCAGTTGACTCGATCGTCCGCGCCTGTCGCCCGCGGCATAGCGGGAAGCTACCTTCACCCAACTGTCAATTGCCTCTCCCGGCCTACTGCCTGCGAACTTGTAGGCGGCTGGCAACTGCTCTAACACTGGTGGTTTCACCGTCGCCAACGCGTCCCCCGCGCCCACCAGGTGAATTCGGATTCTTTCCTAGAGGAAATCGATTCAGGATAACTCAAAACAGAGGATCAAAACGCTATATAATTATCCAATGGACCCTGAAGGTATTCCAGAGTGGACAGCAATGAGCCCAGCCTCAGAGCCGCTGGCTACTAGTGATCAACCATGCGACTGGAATCCCACGACTGTTGGTGGGGTTGACTGTAGACCTTAAAAAGGAATCATAATGCAACCACTTAAGACCTAACATTAGCACTAGGTTTATAACAGCTTCGTCTCGCTGCCTTACAAGCTAACGCTGTGGTTAATTGACAGAAAGCAATAAATGCCGGCAGCGATAGCTTATATGAACGATGGCATTCTGCGGTCCTCGATCCGCAGGTGAGGAAGTGGCTGAGAATGTAAGCCGACTGAAATTGATCTGACAGGCAACCTTGAAACCCGTTGTCCTCGAGCGGTCAATTGTATATATGGTAGTCCGTCCTCCCTTGTCAAGTGACATTAGTCGTTGATTATTGTTTCAGGTTTAGGCATTTGAACTTAAAGGAGATCTCTAATGTCATAATTTCGTCCCAGTGGGGACTCCATTAAATCTTTCTGCTCCTACAAAACTATATTCTGTTCTAGATTAAGCATAAGTAAAAGGACGTGTGGACGACGGTGAGGGGAGCTTGCGTAGCTCCCATCACACCCTTCCATCTAGCTCCCGTCGTCTTTCTATCGGTAGCAGATGCCGACATATCTGCTGTATCTATAAGCCATGCTTGTCATCCAGGGATTTTAAGAGGAACATTTGCACTTTTCATTCGGCGACAAATTTCGTGAAGATGGCTAGTTTAGTCAAGAGTTTAGTTTCCTCTAGTGAGAGTGGCATGAAGTGGTGGAGAGCTATCCCATGTAGTTCAAATTTTCACCTGCTGCCCTCCCTCTAGTAGTTCATTTTGAGTGCTCCGACAAGCATTCCAACAAGTGCAGACGAAAATAACAGCAGACAATCCAACTTTTGAAATTGAATAGATGAGAAGTTAATCGTTCTAACAGCACTGTTTGCAAGGATAGCGAAAAGGTATTAGGATTTTCACCGAAAACTGAGCTAGGTAAGGCACCGTATTGGGACTCCCCCACTCGTAATACAGGTGGTCTTGCGTCAACCTCCAGGTAGAGTACATATTCCCGTGTTTTACTCCTAACTCAAGCCTTAACCCTGACCCTAACCATAATCTCAACACCATTCTTAACCCTTATCCGAATACCAATCCCCCTGAAATAAAAGCGGGTCCTGTTCCCTTGTCCTACCCAAGCTACTGAAAATCCCACTTGCAAGAACCTCGGAGAATGGAACGTCGACCATTGAGTTATCAGTTTTCGCCATACAGCATCAGCAGATGAACCGTCTTCGAGGTTGTTAAGCAGATGAAATCAAATGAAACAACACAAGCATAGTGAGAATGACTGCTCAAGTAATGCACAGTCATACAATTGAAAAACACAACGTGGAAGGCAAAAGTGATTTTGATTCACAAAAGTGAACTGTCGATCTGTCTTATTTTCCCTTGTTTAGTCAATCGTCAATGGGAGTTTAGTCCCGTTCTACCCCGACCGAACGGGCTTGACAACCGAGCACCAGTCCCCAGGTCTATCAGCGTCGTTACGGGTCCTGCTGGAGCTGGCGACAGTGGAGAATCTACATGCAGTGAAAAACGACGGCGAACTCGGACTAATTTCACGAGTCACCAGCTTGCCGAGTTGGATGCCATGTTCTGCAATAGTCACTATCCTGGAGTTCGCAGCCGAGAGGACATAGCCCAAAGGCTGGGTCTTTCTGAGACCAGCGTACAGGTTAGCGGGGGAGCTGAAAAGAATACTAAAACTTGTCTCATAATCTATCTTTTTTCCTTCGACTTACTGCCCAGGGTCTTCGAAGGCTGCCACGAAGCGATGAGTTTTCGGACTGGAGAGGCATCACTGACACCACCGGCTCAACTGTCACGAAGGAGGATGTTCACCGTGTACCCACAGCGGTCTGGGAGCAGGACGGTAGCATGCGCATAAATTAGTTTCTAATGACAGCAGACTTGCACAGCATCTACCACACTGTCTCCTCAGTCACCTAACTGGGGCTGGTGGAAAGCCAAAGTTGGGTCGGTCGAAGGCGAACACGGGCGCAGCCGATAAAAAATTTAAGCGACCCCTCTACGCGTGCCACACACGACCTGGTCCGCGCACGGTGGCCCAGGTTCTCAAAGAAACAGGGGGCGACCTGGACCTCATCTGAAAAGGAGTGCCCTAAGGGCCAAATTGGGAAGGAACATTTGTAGCCTGGTCCTCTGCCCTGAGGGGATAATCGTGTTACTCCTTTAGTTGGTGTCTTCCTAGGCTACGATATTAGCGTGTCGTGATAGTTCAAAAGCGCGTCACGTTGACCATAGTGAGGAATGCCCTGAGTGCCCTTGAGACGGAGTCCGCAGAGTCGACCTTACTAACGATTCGCTCTCATATGCGCCACCCTTCTGTTCGAGCCGGCCGGCACACTGATACTGAGATTGGCAACAAGTGACTGGCGCGGTAGTGAGCTCGTACCTAGACATGTCGCCACAATCCGTTCGCGCAGTCGCTATGGGGTGCGCTGACCATGCTCATCTGGGTTAGCGCATGCCTCGGCTCAAACATAGGTATTGGAGAGCCATTTCTGGCTTTTTTTTAATCGTCCGCCGGTTGCACCCCGTACTATCTTCTGTTTTGGTGGCGATCGTGTAACCGCGTGATTTATTGTTTAAAAGGTTGGCTTGAATATATTTATTTCCACAAGAGAGTTGAAGGGGTTGTATTATCTAGGGTCTTGACTGAGTATGCTCCAGTGCTGTTGTTAAAACGCTGATGCGGTATATGAACGGCAAGACTAAAGGAGGCTCGCCATGGAAAGTAGTGTAAATTACTGTGTTGGCAGCGTTCTGCCTTAAGTCCTGTCGGCTGAGGGACATTAGGACATAGGCGTCAGTTGACCTTGAAAGAACATGGCGGTTTCATCCGACAGGGCGTCGCCAATCATCCCCAAAGTACAGGCATACACCTGGAAAGGTCTAGTACTCCCGACATTGTTATCACCGATTTTGGGGTGTTTTGTATTTGGGTCAGATCAATGTCACATTGCTGGTTCTTTGATTATTTTTCGGTAGAGAAGCATGTGTTGAAGAAGGAGACTCGTCTCTTCGCTTCTATTGGCAGAGAAGCATGTCCTGGGAGAGTCCCACAGAATACAGGGCCAGCAAAACATCATGAATAATCGCCTAATTGGTCCTTCGTCCTCAGTAAAAAACGCTAAATTCCCTCAACGCGTCCTCGAAACGTTTGACAATCATTGTATGTAGCACCAAGTAACAGGCTTTTAACGGCTATCGACGAGGCTTCATAGAGCGGGAACTTAATAAAGCTGTTTGACTTCGAGTCACAAGCAACCCTGAACTTAACTGCCAGGGTTGAGTTTTTGGAATTGATAGGATCAGAAAAATGACTGCATGAGAGGTTCCTCCTCACGCGTTTGAACAAGTTGATAGCAATTAAAACTGTCAACTAAAACGACTGTCAACTGTCAACTACCACAGCAGGATGTTTCACTTGCGGGTTGGATTGGAGAAAACAATACCGCTAGTCGAAAGAAACATGAATCACCAGCAAAACCGCTGGCTTTACCGATGGGAAAATCAGGTCGATTGGTAGGACTGCATGTGTAGTTGTCACCAGGGCGGTACACTGACCACGTGGAGGGCAAATCGGTCATTCATTGTGTGGAGGGCAAGATACTGGAAGAAGAATCCCTCGCAATATGGGTGACCTCGAGCTAAATTCGGGGAGGGATGCCTATTGCTGTGTGCTAGCCTTAACTCTAGCCCAAAACTTGGCCCTAACACTCACCCGATTAGTCACGGGAATAGGACCCCCATAAAACAAATGACCTGGCGTTAAATTACACGATGAGTAGCTACTCCTATGCCCTAACATTAACACAAACTTTAACCCTAATCATAACCATGATCCTAACTCTAACGTTACTGAAATTTAACGTAAGGCCACCTGCATTACGGGGCTTTGCATTATAGGTTTTGCCGTGCACAGCTTCAGCATTTTTAAAGAAGTACAATAGTTGCTTGGAGTCAGTATGGCCATTTAATTCAGATGAAACGGTAACTGTCCTACTAACTCACCATATCATATATGAAAGCGCAAAAGTTATTAACATTTGGCGGGTAGGGAGAAAAGACGGCCTGAGTTTGAAATTCCTTCCAGCTGCCCTAGCTCCGACAAGCGTGAGAGAACAGCAACCCCTTATGAATGCGCTTGAAAATCCGATAACCACATGTCTGAGATTCGACTTTCTTCACGTAATTACAGAGCGGAAGGACGTTTTGGCTCAAAAGTACACATCTTCAGCGGAACAGGGGAAAATGGTGTCGTGTCGTTAAGACACGTTAATTAATGTCAGTAGTTTTAGGATATGTCAGGCAGAAAGTCCGAGGTCTGGAAACTCTCGCAGAATTTTAAAACTCTTGCCGCAGAAAGAGACCCAGTCACTGTTGTTGCCGCTTTTGCATAGGGGCGATTTTTGCCCGAGAAATAACGGTCATATTCGTAAACAATGCAAACTCATAGATGTGCAATTTTTTGCGAAATTTAATCTCGGAATTGCAATCGCCTGCGCAAGGATCCTGTTAATTGCAAACAGATACTCTGTGGGGCCTTGATGTACACATCTCTGGAAGATTTCACAAATGCAGGAGATTCATTCGGTATGCAAATCCACTAACTGAAGTGCCTCCATACCAAAGTCTTTCCAAAATACTATCCGCCACAACTGCTACATGTTTGAGAAAACACAGTCTTTGCAAAATTTTACATTAGACTCTGCCAACGGGGCTTTTGTCCTTTTCTTCCATTCGCTTTGGGCCTTACTCATGCTAAATTTTGAAGTTTCTTTTTTATGCTCTTCTAAGGTCTGGTTCCAGAATCGGCGCGCAAAATGGCGAAAGAGAGAAAATACAAAGAAAGGTGAGATTGCGAAAGAATAATCTCCGAGGATGTCAAAATAGCTTCTTTGATGGAAAACGTTCAAGTTCAACCCTTTCGATACTGCAACACACAAGGTTTTAAGTAGACTTCTGCACAACCGACGCCACTACTACTACTACTACTACTACTACTACTACTACTACTACTACTACTACTACTACTACTACCACCACCACCACCGCCGCCGTGCCCGCCGTCATCGTATTCACCCGCAACAACAAAAGCAGTTTCGCCATCATTATTGCCACCATCGGTCTTGTTTCCGCCCCGTCCAGTTTCTTTTTGTTTTATCTGTACCCAGCTCCCTCTCCTGTACACAGTATTTTTTGATATACGATAACTGCTCAATTATATTTACAGGTCCTGGACGGCCAGCACACAATGCCTATCCGTTGACCTGCTCTGGCGAACCTATCTCGCCAACCGAACTCGATCGTCGGCAGGCAGAGCTTCAAGAAAAACGCCGTGCCCGTCAGGCCCAACGGCTTAAACAACAGGTGAATGGGCTGTCTCTTATAAAAAAATTGTCAACTGTCCCTCTAAATGCAACTGTAACGGGAGGTCGGTTTCAATATTATTCGGAAAGTGGAAAAGTCTTTTAAAACCGGTTTATGCCCTTCTTTCAAGTATAAAATTCGAAGAAGGTGTAATTTTCTTCCAATGAAAAAAGGATGCATGTTTTCTATGAAATATATTTGAATTTATGAGGACATGGAAAATCATTGAGAAAAATTCATAATGGTCGTTATGCAACTTTCTTCATGGGCTCTAGACAGACATGGTTACTCCATTCTAACGTCATTTTCGTGGGAGAAATGGCAGGAATTATTGTCCAACTAGGCCCAAACGGCTGAGTCAGAGACAGTTCTTCCACGACTAAACAAATCATCAAACCTCCTTTCTGGGATACATTCACTAGGCGTTGAATGTCACTGATTTGGGGAGCGTTTCATTCGGTTAGGCCGTGTTTATAATGTTCGTGACAAACATAATTTAGGAGTCTTTGCTGGTAAGAAATATTCATAATCGCAACCGCATGAAATTGGACCCTAACTTAGCGATAGCATTTCGAAATGCGGCTTTCTCAAAAAGCGGCTGACTCGCTCTAACAGACGGCGGAAAACGCGTCGGAGTGGAGATTCCGGCGTTCACGTTTTCGTCGTTTTCTCAAGTCTGCTGGGACCTGTGACTACTGGTTGGTACCGAGGCGTCGACAGGAAAAAAGTTGAGTCTTAGCAGGATTCTGGACATGCTGCAATTATCCATTTCCAATTGAGATCAACCACGAATTCACCAACTCTATTCAACATCAACTTATCTCTTTTTCTCTCCCTCTCTCCCTTCCTCCCTCTCTCTCCCTCTGTCTCCTTCCCTTTTTCTCCTACACACATGCACAAACATTTTCGCTTGGTAACAGTGAAAAAATGTACACTAATGCCATAGCATTCCGTTTATACATACAGGTTGCCCATCCACGTAGAATGGCTTGTTTTCTTGTCGGCTTTCTGCCTCTAAATCCCGGTACTTCTTGTCGCTTTCTGCAACGCTTGCCTGACACTTCTTAACGACCAACTTGTTTCTAACTTTCAAATAAAGCAGCCAAGGTTTTAATCCAGGACTAGCGGACATATAAGCAAATATCCCAAATGAGGGAATCCAACGCGACCCTGTCGACAAACGAAAGCTGACGTCGTATTCTGATGGAAGACGGAGAGTTTTAATCAGGTGTTTCTGCCTTACCTGAGCGTTGGGAGCACAGTGGTTATCTAGAAAACATGTACTCACATCAAGTCACCCGATAATGGTTGTTTTCGAGTTATTTACAGCTGCCAGCCTTCCAGACAAACCCAGGTAGGAGAATCTTTGGCCGATTCTAAACAGCTACTGATAAACTTGAAACTGCACTACCTAGGACGAGTGAATTGCCTGTCATGGATTGAGTACATCCTTCTTTCACCAACTCAACCTTCCTACTACTTCCGCCGAAGCGGCGAAACTTCCGTCCTTCTCTGTTCATTCAATTTTCTTCCCAGTTAGTAAAGCAGGCCCTAATGAGCCGCACATCCGTCACGAAAGTGGCAGTTTTAGGTTGCCTTCATTTGCAGCTATCTACTATATGTTCCGAATTCACGAGACTGTTGGCAAGAGAGAAGAGTGTTGCTAGTGCCCAAGCCTGACTTTCGCAAAATTTATCGTGTCAGGAGTCAGTTGTGATTGCTGATTTAACTGCCAGCACATAAAAAGTTCTTTAGAAAACACCTAAGTCGCTCAGAAGGTCATGTTTGGGTTATTGGCTCGTATATCGAACTGCAGTGATGTGATCCGAGCATTGAATCGGACGTGCTCGTCTGGACCTTCAAACGACGGCATTCTGACCTCCCTGTCCTTGTTACTAACGTTCCCCTAGCACTGCTTGTAATGATCCTGGCTTCGGTTGCAGGCCAGAACCGCGCCTAGTCCAGTTGCTTGGAATCTGACTCTTACTTTTACCAAAGCTGCTGGCTCAGATTCAACTCCTAGGACTTGTCAATCTGACACGAGGCATGGCTGGTTGATGGCAGATCGTGCTGTGAACGTTGTGGCTCCGATTTCCATGAAATCATCGACACTTTAAAAATATCATCGCAACTGATTGGCACCCAGTTTGTAGACAACTACGAAAGGCTTTATGAAAGGCTCTTGAACCTACAACTATTGCCCATTTTACAATTAGCAAAATGCCTTTCTATCAAGCCACAAGTTCAGGGTTTACTAACTTAACAGTCGAAATTATTCGTCTTTGGAATAAAAGGCTCTTCGTTCTCCTTTTTACGCAGATCGCCCGTCGACGTAGGGGAGGCGTTGACTTGGGAAGGAGCGGAGTTCTCTGGAATACTACGTCTAGGCGACTAACAGGGTTGCTTCCTCGCTGCCAGGACGGAGCTCACAGAACGCTCTACGCTACCAATGCAATTTGTCCCCTATTTTGTGCCAGACAGAAAACTGAGCTTGTATCCTCAGTGCTTTTCCCATACGCACCTCACTCACCCACTGCGCCCGCTAGCTGCCGCCTCATAAGCAATCCCAAACCTGCTGAACCGCCGCTTACCTCTCCCGGGAAAACACCGTCCATTGGTTCACCACACAGATACGAGCGCCTTCAATCAAGGCCTTCATTTTTCATTGACTGCCTTTTATCTAACGACTGAACTTATAGACCAGGAAGAGATTTATTTGCCAAGAGATGCTCTACTCTATATCAGATACACACTCGTGAAGAGATGCGCACTTCTCGAAAAGTCCAGTCAAAATGTGTGAAAACACTTTGGTCTGGGTTTTTTCAACTTCTTACAACCTAATGCTTCGGAGTTTTGGGCTATTTAAGTCCCATCACGATCCTGGCCCTCAGGTGGTGGGCGACAATAAGATCTGACTGTTAGCAGGAAATTATAAAAGTCGACTGGTTAAGTGGTAGGACAACGTCAGCACTTGGAATAATTGCCCGAAACGAGATTTTTCCGCGCCAGTCCACCGGATTACGCGTCCTCAGAAAATTGATCAAACAGGTAATGGAGCCTTTGGAGTGCCCTTTTTACAGGCTTACGGCCTAGAACTTGTGGAGTTATAGCAGGTAAGTGATTTGGATGAGGGGGATACATGTGGGGACTTGTAGGGTTTTCTGTTGATTGTTGTCTGGGCCTCTTAAATAATTCACAGTAACTCAAAGGAAGAAGAGACGTTCACCCGGAGAAGCTTATTGGAGGGCTAATGTTTCGATTAGATATTTCGTCTACCCAGTAACTTCCTCAAGATTTGACTATGCTTGACTCCCCCACCTCAACTACAAAGTAATTTGCGGCCTCTATTCCTAGGCAAGAGACCACTTGACGTATGATGGCGTACCATAAAAGGAAATTTGTTTCTCGGTATTCCTATACGATTTCCTGGGACTGGATGGTGAGGCTTCGATAACTTGATGTGAAAGCTCAGGCCTGACCGAAAGGCTGAACCTTATCCTAACTTTTGTTCAAGTTACCATCACACCTCCGAGTAATCAATAACTGCCTAATTCGTTCATCCACAATTCGAATTTTTCTCAGAAGAAGGCAAACTACGGGTTCCCACTTGGTGGAAAGAGTCTTCACGGTACTTGAACGGACCATTTAACGGAAATAATGCAAAGTTTCAGGCAAACCTTCTAGCCTCTCTGTCGAGAAGTTGACCACCAGTGGGAGCCATGGAGAGCCCTCCGTTTTTTCTCATTGAGAAAAAGATATACCAGAAAATTTTGCAATAAATTCGGAAGCCAGCAATGATATGCGCGCGTCCTTCCGTGACGTTAGTAACCTCTGAATGCGGGACTGGCTTGTTTGGCCACCTAAACAGGGCATGGGAATAGGTACGCCCGCCCAACTAATAAAGGTGGACCTGCGCATAATTTCGGAAGGGGTGAAATATTCTCGTGTCTTAACCCCAACAATAACCCTAATATGAAACTAAACCGGTACCTTAATCTTGACCGTGGCCCTGCCCTAGACCTTAAATTTGCAGTTACCACTGGCTCCTACCTCAACCCTAACCTTAATCCTGACTTACGTTATCGTCAAATTTAAACTTAATCCTTAACTTACCCCTAACCTTAAACCTAACCCTGATTTCACTGGAGGTTGGCTCAAAGCCACCCGTATTGCAGGCGGTTCCAGTTCTCATGTCTTGTTTAGGGGTCACAGCAAGGAAAATTTCCGGTTTCGACTGGAGCGTCAGAGGTTGAGTGCTTGAATGGGAGTTCACTGTTGAGATCCATGAATCGAGTCCATTACGCTGATGGCTGCATTTCCTCCGGTAAAGCGGTCGGTCGAGATTATTGGCTTACTTCATTGTATCGCGTTCCGACTCAATATGATTGACAGACTCAAGAGACGACACCAAGCGCCTGCTACAAGGAGTGAACGTAACACCGGTGACTTACGCATGAGTTAGTTTATAGTGAGGCAGTTTTGCGCAGAATCTATCTCACTCTCTTCTCATTCAGTTTGCTCTGATACCCAGACAATAGTGAGACGACCAGAGGTGAGTACTGACACAGCGACCGACAAGGCCAAACAACCTGTCTACGGGTGCGTCACGCGACACAGTCCTTGGGTCATGCACAGGGCTTTCACGGGAGCGGCTTGGATCGGGCATGAGTCACAGATGCCAAATTTAAAAGGGGCCATTGCAGCCTGACTCACGGTCCTCTGCCCCAGAATACGCCTATGGGACAAAGTTATACCTCCAGCTGACGACCTTTCAACTCCCGACTCACAGCGCGGCTTGACAGACTTGGAAAAATCAGATTTACTGGGGATGAGGGATGTGCTGATTTGCTATGGGAATGAACTCCCCACTATTGGCTTCATTCGACTCAGTATAGAATGCCTGCTCAAGCATGAATAAGAATATGAAGGGCAATATGCCCAAAAATTTGTTCCAGGGTTCAATAATTTTATCGTGCGGAACGGCATATGGTCAGCCAGATTATTATATGACTGCAACCTCTCTGAAAGGCGATCTCACCAATTTCGGCAGCTTAGTTACATGCGCCGGCTCTTACCATGATCAGTGTCTCAGAGTTTGACCGGATTTCCTCCGCATCTCTACGAACTTTTTCAACAGAGAATACGTGAGGAAAATTTTATGGCTAAAATAATGCGTCGCTACAGACATGTGATCATGTGTAAGAAGATTTGTTAACTTTTGTGATAACTTCTGCGAGATGATTGACTGCTAGAGAGTTTCAGCCCCAAAGTAACGTCTGAGACTAAACATCTGGATGTTTTTGATAAGCAAAATGCGTGAAGTTATTCCTGCTGGGTTCAGTGCGAAAATACACGACTCCCCGTCCAGGCGGTCAGAAGTAGCGGTTTAAGGGATGACATGCAGCTAGTTGTGTTTCCGGCATCATCGGTAAGGGATGCGTTATCCATGTTTCGAAAGTGAGCAGTTGTTTTAGTGCCCGTGGTAAGGACTAAGCTATGTGGCTTATTGGCCTGGAGGTGCCAGGCAAAACCGAAGCATTCGTGAGTAAGAAGAAGAGGACTGGTAGGCACTGGAACAGTTTTTTATCTTTTTGAGCGAACTGGCTATCTGGCGGCGTCTATGGGCCGACGCCTACATGCACATCCCTTAGCAGAAACAAAGCATAAGCACCAGCAAGGATGCGGTAAGCTCTGTTAATCATAAAACACGTTTCAGAAGCAGCCGATCGCATTGCTGCGAGACTAGATGTTGGAACTGCACACTGTTCAAAAGCTGTCATGCGCAGCAGGGCCGAGTAAGGTCCAAAGAGTAGTCTGGGCTAGTGTGTCGTATCCCGTGCTTAAACTGTCCTTGTAACTACATAAGCCAGACGGATCACAAATCCGAATAGCGCACCCACGAACTGAACCTGGTTGTGCAACGGGGGAGAAGGTAAATTATCGAAAATGGGTGCTCACACCTTCACAGCTCCAAGATCATTGCCCATGCCCGAAGCAAGAAAAGCCGAGAACCGGTTGAGGCTTGGCCCTCAGACGAGAACTCAGCGAATCCATGTATCGACCCGGTTCCGACATACAGAGCCCTGCGCCGTCATCTTGAAACCTGTTGCATCGGTCCTTGATTGGCTGATATTCCTTATGAATATCCCTTTTTTGTGCTGTCGTTTCTGAGGATGGACTCCTGCCCGTGTTCAAAAAGCCAGAAATATAAGCAAATGATCCCAGTACTCCACAGTCTTTTTCTCCCTTGCTCATACAGACACCTGGAACTCGAACGTTCACCTCCATTTGTGGGAAATCTCCATTTCCATCTTGCAACCAATACAATGCTGTAGACGCAAATGACATGGGACTTTATTATTTCTGGTGTCAACCAGTGCTATTTGGGCCCCTTACACAGATAAGAATGCGGCGGACTTAAGGGAGCTCTATCAACCGACTCGAGTTGAAATCGGAGGTACCACGCGTTGGGCCAGTTTGTCATTGACTGATGACAGCAGACAAGCTAGGAATGGCTGGCCCAGTATTCTGTAGTCTTTTTCGGCATCACATCTGGCCGTGAGATGGACTTGCAGTCGCGATGAAATATGTCCATTTTCATGAGCTCTGGACATTAAGTAACAGGTCGGAGGACCAAACGTATAGTGGCAGGAAAGACTAAGGTGAACTAAGGCTTTGCGGTGATAAAGAGTATCCGGATGTTCCTCCCTTCCGTCAAAATACTTCCTTCGCTCTTGAAAAACCCTCGAAGTCGTGAACAGCAGATAAGCTCAAAAGTCCGATCTGTTTAAGAGCCAGAGACCAGACTGAATTCACTCTAGCCTTCGTCAAACATGCCCCTATGCATTCACAGGCCTCAGGCGAATCGGCGTCCAGCGGTGGATCATACCCGTTTCTTGCCGCGATTACTGGCTGCTAGCCACGCCTCATCCTCCTAATCCCACCCGGATTTACGCGCACACACACGCGCGCGCCTAGAATCGAAATTAATCACCCCGTCTCGGCAGCGCCGTTTATCCGATGGGTATCGTTTGCCAACAGGCACCACCACCAGACCTCCAGGGCGCCAGTTGTGCCCACCCCCCCTCGGGAACTCGTCCTCTGTCCCCGTCAGATCGTGGATAGGTCACCGTTTTTGCTGCAATGCCTACACGTGGACACTTGTCTTTCAGTCCCCGTGCCTTTGGCCCAACAAGGCAGCCGCGCGGGCATTTATCAACATTTAATTATCAAACTGACAAGACGCTGGTGCAGAATACAGTCATATGACGGCTTGTCGTTAAGTCGCAAACCAATTTATATGCAAATTACTAACATTCTTGCCGGAGCCACCCGAGCGCTGCACCCATTGTCCCCAGAAAGTGCCATAGAACCTGTTGCATGTCGCTGTGTTTGTGGGGGGGGGGGAGGGGACGAAGAAGAATCACGAGCTGGTTTGTCGTCGATTGATTCCTTTCAGAATTGCTTTTTGAGGACAAGAACGAGTGGAGGAAACTGGCTGCGATACTAAGTCGAACCAGCCTTTTGCATAGCAGAGACACACACTTGGCATCATAGAGAGGTTTTTATTGTCTTCTACATTAGGCCTGACAATTATTCTTTAGGTGACAAACAATCCTTCGTTAGGCACCATAGCTTCACAAAGAGGAAGGCCCGCTGGATGAAGAGTGCTCACATGTTTATTAACAAAA